AATTTTTTATTATCATATAAAAATTGCCTCTAATATTAATTAATAATAATAACTGAATTCAAGCCTACCATCCATTATATGCGAATAATCCTGAATAAAATGAGAGCGCAATTGTTGTGATGTCCACATTTTTAACAGCCGGGTCCTGTACAAACGAGAAATGTTCCGTATGTCCTATCAAACAAACAAAATCACTTTAAATAACTTGAAATAATTAAAAATCGTTATAGTAAAACATTGATTTATTTATTAAATCAGATTTGTTCTGTCATTCAGTATACCATGGAGTGAAAGACTGATCACTAGAAGGAACTAATGGTTGTCTTTTTAATTTCTTATAATAATTATACTATTTCACATCAATTATAAATAATCCTGCTGTAAATGATCTGTTTTTATATCCAATTTGTTTGACATTAAAAAATAATTTTATAAAAAATTGTTTAAATTAGAAAATATAATTTAACCGCTATATACCGCTTAAAGAATATTTGAAATGAAAACATAATAAAATTAACTTGTACACATAGACAATAATTTAACTATATTGTCACTATTAAGAATAGTTTTTTCTATTAAAAATAAAATAAAATAAATTACAATTTTTAGAATTAAATTGCACAGAATTTAATAAGTATTTTATAATAAATTAGGAGTTCCGTTTAACCCCAAAAAAATCAATCATTTATAATAAGACTCACAAATACATAAATAAATATTCAATTGATAAATGAATTGATTAGTTATATACGTATACTATATGTGTGCTATTATATAAATTTATATAATAAGTTGTACTATTAAATAAAACAGGAAATTGATTATTTTATGAATTGACGTTTTATTGCATTACATGAGAAATAATGGACCAAAATAGTCATAATATTAATACAAATATTGTACGGACTGAACACATTTAGAGAATAAAACACACGATTTATAATAATAGTAAAATGTGTGACAAGACTGTTATCCATACCTTTTGAGAGCTGAACGATTCCGGTTATAATGATTGTAATCAATGCCAACAATTTTCCATATGTAAAGAAATCCTGGACTCTTATTGACCACTTGACGTCCCAACAGTTGACAAAAGTTAATAGACCTATATAAATCAATAATAAAACATATTAATTTTGTTTCACCATTATACATCAAATCAATAAACTTCTAAATTACACATAAAATTTTTGTTTTATAGTAAAGTGATTGGTATTAGTTTTAATAATACTTGGACTAAATCTTTGTATCAATGAGTAGAATTTGACAAACAATTTCAAGATATGTCCATATTATGGACTCCATAAACCCGGTAATAGTAATTTATTAAAGTCTTCAATTTAGACCCAAATATATTCAGAAAATTGTCAGTACAATTTAAATACATACACCTAAATGTTTTATACAGTATTACATCTACATGTTACATATTACATGTATTAATAATACAGTATTATTATTAGTTCCTAATACAGTATTAGTATTTAATTGAAGACAAATATAATAGTGTTACTATTTGTGGTTTTGATTTGTGGTATTATAATTTATTTCATTACATTATAATTCTCAATTCTTTTCTATAAACCTATTTAATTAATTATATTATAAACCTTGTCTGATTCATGTGAGTGTTTGAGTTAGAATTACACTCCTGGTGAGTTTTAATCCTTTAAAACTCAAATGGCTTAAATGGAAAGCAGTGTTTATTTAATGAATAATACAGTACTGTATATAACTAATGTAATCTTATAGTAATAACCTTAAATTCTAATTATTTATATTTTTCATTTTTACTACTTCTTCGAGTAAAAGTAATTTAGAAATAAGTTTAATTAATATTAAAAAGTTTAGCAAGACTCATGGTTAAGATTTAGAGACAGATTATATTATACTTAATAATGACATTTCTTCCATAACTTTAACTAATGATTGCTTTCATTTGAATTAGATTTCATTTTAAAGATGAGATATTCTTTATATAGAAATTATGTTCAGTAAGAAAGACTCATTTCTATATAAAGTTAATGAACACATTTTTATCATTAGATGTTTAGTTTAATTGGATTTGAAATATTATAAATGTATGCTTATGATTACAAATACTCCAATCAAATTAAATAATATTTATAATCTAAAAACAGATATAGTTAATGTCATTTATAATCACAACAAGCAAACATTTATAATTACGATAATAATAACATTATGTCATACAGTATTAAGATACTTTTAATAAGTCTATAAAAAAAAGTTTCGTTAGTTTAAAAATCTTAAATAACATGTAAAAATGATAGACACGGAATTGATTAATATTATAAAATAAATGCCAAAAAATATTTTAGTTTATTTTAATATACATTTTAAGTTAATTGAAAATTAAACATATATTTATGATTAATTTAAAAATGATATTATACCTTCTCAATTCATATGGATTTTAACATTATAAACTGAATAAAATTGAATTCTCGTAAAGCATATAAGATAATAAAGTGAAAGTCATATAATGATAACTAAATTTTAATTTAATTTTAATGGTATAATAAAATTGAAAAATTGAGATTGAAATTAGATGGTCTATCAAATTATATAATTCAATTTCTAAAAAGTTAGGCATATTGCCAAAAATATACAAACAAATGTTTGCAGCCATTTAATAATGCTTACAAGTTAGTAATTTATTGATAAAGTAGCAAGATGAAATCTGATGATATATAGTAATATCTCAGAAATATTTTGCATAATTTTTAATTTCTGGTAGGAATATCAAGTTGCTAAAACCTAGTGCACGAATTTACTTTTATACATTTTGACTCGAAACAAAAGTCGTGAAGTCAACCTAGGTATTTTAAATAAAATTATCGTCAAGATAAACTTTAACTTAAATTATAACAGTGTTAAGTCATAAGCAAGACATTTGTAAAAGACTTTATATGGTTACAATGCATTATATGCATAAATATGATTTTGCATGTTTTATTTGACATTATGCTGTGTATAATTATGTTTAAATTTTCAAACATTAGACCAAATTTGTTGTCATAAGACAAAGAACTCGAAGTGAAATGTAATTATGTCTGTCATATGAACGAGAAAATGAGAATCAGTTTCCTATTCACTAAACAGTAGTTATAATATGAGAGAAATATAATATAAGCAGTTTTTGTTGAAAATCCTTGAGAAGTAATGAAAGATTAAATCAGTCATAAATTATTATTAATAACTCAAAAGTAAGTAATTTTCAAACATTTCACCAAATATTTGAGAGCTTATAAATATTAATGAGTTTTAATGGTTTCTAAACTAAACTATGATACCATTAATATGTAATATTTGTGTAACATGTAAGCAGGGCTCATTAAGTAACTTACAAATACACACAACAGCGAGCATTCTCGTGGCGTCACCGGGAGGGTCGCAGTCGGGATAGAAGGGCCGCANGAATAGAAATGTTAGTCAGAAATGATTTCTTATTGAAAATATTTGTCAAACGGACGCAACGGTGAACTGTAGACTGACATCAATTAATCATTAAGACTATAGTTAACTGCAGTTATAATAGTATATTATTATCATCATCTGATAAATGTCATTCAATTTAGACAATTTATCAATTTGAATAATATTTAATGAATGTCTTTAAAATGATTATATTTGTTGAGATTTTTCTGATGGCACGACAACCAGAATCTTCTGAAAAGTTAATGTAAACCAATCTATCCATAGAAAAGTATTTACATTAATACTTATAGTATTTACATAGTTAATTTATCAAGTACAAATAATATACAAACCGAAAGCGTTTTGTATAACTTTGGGTTTCCTTTTCCACGCAATAAAAAGGAAATATACGGGAACTCCAGTCAGTATAATAAGACATCCGAATCCAGTGCCCACTGGGTCCGCAAGCATTGGCACCACTGTTATGAATATAGACGCTAAGATGTAAATGATGGGCCAAATGAGGTTCACTTTAATAGGTCGGGGCAGGTCTGGCTGTTTCCAGCGCAGGTATGGAAGACAAACAACAGCCAATCCAATGGCCAGCCATGTGGCGAATCCCA